CTTTTGTGGTATCTTTTGTGGTATCTTTTGTGGTACCTTTTGTGGTACCTTTAGTGGTATCTTTTGTGGTATCTTTTGTGCTACCTTTTGTGCTACCTTTTTTGCTACCTTTTGTGGTACCTTTTGTGCTACCTTTTGTGGTATCTTATGTGGTACCTTTTGTCTTTTGTGGCTTAGAATTGGTAGTTCTTAGGGATGAACCAAATTTCAAGCCACCCCCAGAAAACAGGATCTTGGTACCTCTCGGGGGTTCTTTTTCGAATTTCTCACGAGCACCCCCTTTCTTTTTTTATAAAGAGGTTCTCCTCCCTGAGAGTTTTCTTTGTTGTTAGTGATGGTAAAGATTTAACTTTTCTTAAACGTTCTTTCCCTTTTTCAGTATTTAGCGCCCCAGCAGAGGACAAAGGTAAGATTTAAATTTCAAAATACTTTGAAAGGTAGATCCCAAAAACGTTTGGAACGTTTGGATAGAATTCTTAGCAACAAATAAAATGAAGTCACTAGACAATAATCATTTATGAACTGGTACTTGAAAATATCTTTGTTGTTTTTCAAAACAGGGAAATGTACCCCCAATGCCGATGTCGTCTTCCTGGTCGACTCCTCAGGGAGCATCTCCCGCAGAAACTACAGGAAAGTGAGGCAATTTGTGTCCGACTTAGGCGCCAGATTCAATATTTCCCCAGGCGGGTCCCGCGCGGCAGTTGTTGTGTACAGCACGTCGGCATCAACGGATATCAGATTCACAGACCACACAAGTTCTGAGTCATTTGCTAGAGCTGTGCAACGGTTAAGACATCAGCGTGGATTCACTCGAATAGATCTCGCCCTTCAGCGAGCATACAACGACTTATTCGGTAGACGTGGAACAGCTCGGTTTCTGGTTCCAAAAATCGCCTTCGTGCTCACCGATGGAGAACAGACCCCAGCCTCCGATGCAATTCCTCTGGATAGGGCAGCTGGGCTTCTCAAAGCTGCAGGAGTGCGGCTTATTGTAATAGGAGTTGGAAGAAACGTGAATGAAGAAGAGCTTAAGATGATTGCCAGCAGCGACGAGGATGTGATAGAAACAGACAATTTTGATACCTTATTAGCGCAAGTACAACCACTAGTCAGGACCGCCTGTGAAGGCATTGAAGGTGCGTTTGTTGTAGAATGAAAAACTAATGAAACTAAACTTATTTCGCGAGCCACATCATTTCAAAAGTTCAAATTTATTTGATTTGTTGCTGTTTTAAGACATATACGTTGAGACTGAAATAGCTCAAAATTTAACAGTTTGCCAAGGCTGAAATTTTTATCTTCAGGAGAAAATAATACTGACTAACACCGTTTTAAATTCTGATTTATCAGAGCTTCCCACTTGTGATGCGTCGGTAGATATCGCTTTTCTGGTGGACTCATCGGGAAGTGTTTCAAGACCCAACTACTTAAGAGAAAAAGCCTTCATCAACGCAGTTGCTCAAAGCTTTGGGATTTCCAAAAGTCAGTCTCGCGCTGCTCTTGTGTTGTTTAGTAGCTCGGCTTCTGTGCAGATTAAATTTCGGGACTATGCCAGCACAAATTCTTTCAAGGCAGCTGTCGATAGACTTCGTCACGAGCGAGGTAGGACACGCATCGACAAAGCATTGCAGGTTGCTACCAGAGAGGTCTTTCCGTTTGCTCGCAAGGGTGTGCATCAGATAGCCTTTGTGATAACAGACGGCGAGCAAACTCAAGAAAGTGATACGAAAGATCTCAAGGTGGCGTCCGAACCTTTACGAAGGGCCGGTGTTCAGGTGTTGGCGTTAGGTGTCGGTTCAGGGGTCAATCCTGATGAGTTGAGACTGATTGTGGAGAAGGATGAGGACGTTCTGATCGCAAAGAACTTCCAGGACTTGCTTGACAGAGTTGGTAGCTTCATTAAAGCCACTTGTTACTTAGCAGGTAAGCGAAGGGTATAATTGTTTTGTTCGCTATACTTCTCCCAACCCTTATATTTTTTTATTCCATGGCTGTGTCTTGCAAGGACTAGCTTCGACTGGGAACTACCAAACTCAAGTATTTGATTAGCTAAAATCGATATAGCTAATGATCGCATTCTAGATTTCCCATCTAGACTGTCATCCATATAACGCTACCTATTACCCTTGCCGCTAGAGAGTTACAAACAAATATCCAAAATCTANGGTTAGAAGGGGCTTATTGGACAACCTAACGCAAGACAATTTTAGCCAGAAAAACCTTACGTCACTTGACACGACTATGCACATGCGAGCGGCGAATAGAAAAAGTTACAAAGGAAAACAAAAGTTGCTGTGACTGAATTGTATATGTCACGCAACGATTATTAATTTGCACAACTATTTAAGTCATAAGACAGAAATTGTTGAAATAGTTTTATTAGTATACTTTCTCACAACTGGGTTCGAAAATCGATCACTGCCTTTTTTTCTCCACTGTCTCGATGAACGAATCCAATCGAACGATTGGATTCGATTACCAAACGGTTCTCAATGACGTCCTTTCCCTACACATTTCTTGGTAGCCATGGAGAGTCAGGTCGGTTATTGAAACAAACGGTTACACTTAATAGAAACTTCTAACAGTAATGAAATTTCCTTCAATCATTTTCACTCCCGTTTCAGAACCGGACCCCTGCGACATTTCAGCCGATTTAGCGTTCATTTTTCCCTCCGGAGATATTGGGCTAGACAACTTTCTGAGACAAAAGACCGCCATAAAAACGATTGCAAAGAGCTTCGGCATTTCACCAAGAAGGAGTCGTGCTTCCATAGTGACGGTCAGCGATTCCAGGGCTTCCTTGGTTGCGTCTTTCGATGCCTTCTCATCCACGAACGAATTTGAAGAAGTGTTGTCTTCCTTGCGCTATGGAGGGGGACGGGGTGATCTGAGTGAAGCGCTCAAACTTGTAGAAGAAAAGGTATTCCCAAAGGCAAGAGAGAGAGTTGCAAAAATCGCTGTGGTTATCCTCGATGACAAGGACGACAGAGATAGGCGTTGGCGAGATTCTGTGCTCCCGTTGAGAAAGGCAGGTGTACGCGTTTTACTCGTGTGGGTTGGTTCTAAAATTGATCGCGCATCCTTACGGGCGCTAGTTCACAGTGATGGAGATGTCCTCATTTTAGACTCATTTATTGGCTTACTGAAGAATTCCGTTGGACTCGCGAAGAGCACCTGCGAAGCTGCGAGTAAGTAAATATATATTGCTTTCTGTATATATGACTAGACCAATAACCTCCTTAAGTTGGCTTCAAGAATATCCAGTTTTGTTTTACCTTGGACTTTGGCTGTGGGTTGACGGTTAAATACACAGGCGAAGCTGGAGAAAAACGATTAGCTTTAGAAGTAATCCAGTTGAAAATATTTAAGATTAACTAGCGTTACCACGAAATTGAGAAGAAAGGACATCTATTTATTTGATTTTATGCAGCTTGCAATACGATTTCAGTTTGCATTTTACCCCCAGTCTGCAGTCAATCTGCAATCTGCAGTCCGCAGTCGAAGGTTTACACCAACCGGTTTAGTGAGTTGCCACATTACATTAGGTACTTTTATGTGAAGTATGTATTAGCGTGTACAGGCCAGAACGCAAGCCACTTTTCGTTCAGGCAATGCACAATAACCGTAAGAACAAGCTTAGTAATGAAGAGGCATAAATAAATCATGGAAAATGCAAATATGAACGATCAAAGGTGGTTAGGAAGCGATTGCTCAGTATNTGCGTGTACCCAGGCAGTCGTTATACTGAGAAGCAATAGCTATATTGCAATTGAGCTAATGTTCTGCATTTGAAGTTGTGCGAAGTTCAATCGAATTGATGTGCTTAAGCTATTCTGCTTTTGATTGCATTTCTTGGAATCGATTAATAGCTTATTACTCGTTTGCAAGTCTTTAAGGTGTGAAATGAGTCAAGGTCTTTATATCAACCTATAATACCAAAAATACTGAATGGAAAATGTCAAAGACGTGTAGAAAAAAGTTAAACTAGACGCTTTGCTGCGTGTACCCAGGCAGTCGTTATACTGAGAAGCAATAGCTATATTGCAATTGAGCTAATGTTCTGCATTTGAAGTTGTGCGAAGTTCAATCGAATTGATGTGCTTAAGCTATTCTGCTTTTGATTGCATTTCTTGGAATCGATTAATAGCTTATTACTCGTTTGCAAGTCTTTAAGGTGTGAAATGAGTCAAGGTCTTTATATCAACCTATAATACCAAAAATACTGAATGGAAAATGTCAAAGACGTGTAGAAAAAAGTTAAACTAGACGCTTTGCTGCGTGTACCCAGGCAGTCGTTATACTGAGAAGCAATAGCTATATTGCAATTGAGCTAATGTTCTGCATTTGAAGTTGTGCGAAGTTCAATCGAATTGATGTGCTTAAGCTATTCTGCTTTTGATTGCATTTCTTGGAATCGATTAATAGCTTATTACTCGTTTGCAAGTCTTTAAGGTGTGAAATGAGTCAAGGTCTTTATATCAACCTATAATACCAAAAATACTGAATGGAAAATGTCAAAGACGTGTAGAAAAAAGTTAAACTAGACGCTTTGCTGCGTGTACCCAGGCAGTCGTTATACTGAGAAGCAATAGCTATATTGCAATTGAGCTAATGTTCTGCATTTGAAGTTGTGCGAAGTTCAATCGAATTGATGTGCTTAAGCTATTCTGCTTTTGATTGCATTTCTTGGAATCGATTAATAGCTTATTACTCGTTTGCAAGTCTTTAAGGTGTGAAATGAGTCAAGGTCTTTATATCAACCTATAATACCAAAAATACTGAATGGAAAATGTCAAAGACGTGTAGAAAAAAGTTAAACTAGACGCTTTGCTGCGTGTACCCAGGCAGTCGTTATACTGAGAAGCAATAGCTATATTGCAATTGAGCTAATGTTCTGCATTTGAAGTTGTGCGAAGTTCAATCGAATTGATGTGCTTAAGCTATTCTGCTTTTGATTGCATTTCTTGGAATCGATTAATAGCTTATTACTCGTTTGCAAGTCTTTAAGGTGTGAAATGAGTCAAGGTCTTTATATCAACCTATAATACCAAAAATACTGAATGGAAAATGTCAAAGACGTGTAGAAAAAAGTTAAACTAGACGCTTTGCTGCGTGTACCCAGGCAGTCGTTATACTGAGAAGCAATAGCTATATTGCAATTGAGCTAATGTTCTGCATTTGAAGTTGTGCGAAGTTCAATCGAATTGATGTGCTTAAGCTATTCTGCTTTTGATTGCATTTCTTGGAATCGATTAATAGCTTATTACTCGTTTGCAAGTCTTTAAGGTGTGAAATGAGTCAAGGTCTTTATATCAACCTATAATACCAAAAATACTGAATGGAAAATGTCAAAGACGTGTAGAAAAAAGTTAAACTAGACGCTTTGCTGCGTGTACCCAGGCAGTCGTTATACTGAGAAGCAATAGCTATATTGCAATTGAGCTAATGTTCTGCATTTGAAGTTGTGCGAAGTTCAATCGAATTGATGTGCTTAAGCTATTCTGCTTTTGATTGCATTTCTTGGAATCGATTAATAGCTTATTACTCGTTTGCAAGTCTTTAAGGTGTGAAATGAGTCAAGGTCTTTATATCAACCTATAATACCAAAAATACTGAATGGAAAATGTCAAAGACGTGTAGAAAAAAGTTAAACTAGACGCTTTGCTGCGTGTACCCAGGCAGTCGTTATACTGAGAAGCAATAGCTATATTGCAATTGAGCTAATGTTCTGCATTTGAAGTTGTGCGAAGTTCAATCGAATTGATGTGCTTAAGCTATTCTGCTTTTGATTGCATTTCTTGGAATCGATTAATAGCTTATTACTCGTTTGCAAGTCTTTAAGGTGTGAAATGAGTCAAGGTCTTTATATCAACCTATAATACCAAAAATACTGAATGGAAAATGTCAAAGACGTGTAGAAAAAAGTTAAACTAGACGCTTTGCTGCGTGTACCCAGGCAGTCGTTATACTGAGAAGCAATAGCTATATTGCAATTGAGCTAATGTTCTGCATTTGAAGTTGTGCGAAGTTCAATCGAATTGATGTGCTTAAGCTATTCTGCTTTTGATTGCATTTCTTGGAATCGATTAATAGCTTATTACTCGTTTGCAAGTCTTTAAGGTGTGAAATGAGTCAAGGTCTTTATATCAACCTATAATACCAAAAATACTGAATGGAAAATGTCAAAGACGTGTAGAAAAAAGTTAAACTAGACGCTTTGCTGCGTGTACCCAGGCAGTCGTTATACTGAGAAGCAATAGCTATATTGCAATTGAGCTAATGTTCTGCATTTGAAGTTGTGCGAAGTTCAATCGAATTGATGTGCTTAAGCTATTCTGCTTTTGATTGCATTTCTTGGAATCGATTAATAGCTTATTACTCGTTTGCAAGTCTTTAAGGTGTGAAATGAGTCAAGGTCTTTATATCAACCTATAATACCAAAAATACTGAATGGAAAATGTCAAAGACGTGTAGAAAAAAGTTAAACTAGACGCTTTGCTGCGTGTACCCAGGCAGTCGTTATACTGAGAAGCAATAGCTATATTGCAATTGAGCTAATGTTCTGCATTTGAAGTTGTGCGAAGTTCAATCGAATTGATGTGCTTAAGCTATTCTGCTTTTGATTGCATTTCTTGGAATCGATTAATAGCTTATTACTCGTTTGCAAGTCTTTAAGGTGTGAAATGAGTCAAGGTCTTTATATCAACCTATAATACCAAAAATACTGAATGGAAAATGTCAAAGACGTGTAGAAAAAAGTTAAACTAGACGCTTTGCTGCGTGTACCCAGGCAGTCGTTATACTGAGAAGCAATAGCTATATTGCAATTGAGCTAATGTTCTGCATTTGAAGTTGTGCGAAGTTCAATCGAATTGATGTGCTTAAGCTATTCTGCTTTTGATTGCATTTCTTGGAATCGATTAATAGCTTATTACTCGTTTGCAAGTCTTTAAGGTGTGAAATGAGTCAAGGTCTTTATATCAACCTATAATACCAAAAATACTGAATGGAAAATGTCAAAGACGTGTAGAAAAAAGTTAAACTAGACGCTTTGCTGCGTGTACCCAGGCAGTCGTTATACTGAGAAGCAATAGCTATATTGCAATTGAGCTAATGTTCTGCATTTGAAGTTGTGCGAAGTTCAATCGAATTGATGTGCTTAAGCTATTCTGCTTTTGATTGCATTTCTTGGAATCGATTAATAGCTTATTACTCGTTTGCAAGTCTTTAAGGTGTGAAATGAGTCAAGGTCTTTATATCAACCTATAATACCAAAAATACTGAATGGAAAATGTCAAAGACGTGTAGAAAAAAGTTAAACTAGACGCTTTGCTGCGTGTACCCAGGCAGTCGTTATACTGAGAAGCAATAGCTATATTGCAATTGAGCTAATGTTCTGCATTTGAAGTTGTGCGAAGTTCAATCGAATTGATGTGCTTAAGCTATTCTGCTTTTGATTGCATTTCTTGGAATCGATTAATAGCTTATTACTCGTTTGCAAGTCTTTAAGGTGTGAAATGAGTCAAGGTCTTTATATCAACCTATAATACCAAAAATACTGAATGGAAAATGTCAAAGACGTGTAGAAAAAAGTTAAACTAGACGCTTTGCTGCGTGTACCCAGGCAGTCGTTATACTGAGAAGCAATAGCTATATTGCAATTGAGCTAATGTTCTGCATTTGAAGTTGTGCGAAGTTCAATCGAATTGATGTGCTTAAGCTATTCTGCTTTTGATTGCATTTCTTGGAATCGATTAATAGCTTATTACTCGTTTGCAAGTCTTTAAGGTGTGAAATGAGTCAAGGTCTTTATATCAACCTATAATACCAAAAATACTGAATGGAAAATGTCAAAGACGTGTAGAAAAAAGTTAAACTAGACGCTTTGCTGCGTGTACCCAGGCAGTCGTTATACTGAGAAGCAATAGCTATATTGCAATTGAGCTAATGTTCTGCATTTGAAGTTGTGCGAAGTTCAATCGAATTGATGTGCTTAAGCTATTCTGCTTTTGATTGCATTTCTTGGAATCGATTAATAGCTTATTACTCGTTTGCAAGTCTTTAAGGTGTGAAATGAGTCAAGGTCTTTATATCAACCTATAATACCAAAAATACTGAATGGAAAATGTCAAAGACGTGTAGAAAAAAGTTAAACTAGACGCTTTGCTGCGTGTACCCAGGCAGTCGTTATACTGAGAAGCAATAGCTATATTGCAATTGAGCTAATGTTCTGCATTTGAAGTTGTGCGAAGTTCAATCGAATTGATGTGCTTAAGCTATTCTGCTTTTGATTGCATTTCTTGGAATCGATTAATAGCTTATTACTCGTTTGCAAGTCTTTAAGGTGTGAAATGAGTCAAGGTCTTTATATCAACCTATAATACCAAAAATACTGAATGGAAAATGTCAAAGACGTGTAGAAAAAAGTTAAACTAGACGCTTTGCTGCGTGTACCCAGGCAGTCGTTATACTGAGAAGCAATAGCTATATTGCAATTGAGCTAATGTTCTGCATTTGAAGTTGTGCGAAGTTCAATCGAATTGATGTGCTTAAGCTATTCTGCTTTTGATTGCATTTCTTGGAATCGATTAATAGCTTATTACTCGTTTGCAAGTCTTTAAGGTGTGAAATGAGTCAAGGTCTTTATATCAACCTATAATA